ATTTGCTCCCCAGCCTCTCTGGTCTCTGATTGGCCGTCGTCCCTCCCGTGGTCTCCCCTGATTGGCCTTCCCCGCGCTTTCCTCTGATTAGCCCTCCTCGCCCTCTCTGGTCTCTGATTGGCCGTCTCCACCCCCCGCTGGTCTCTGATTGGCCGTCCCCGCCCCCCGCTCGTCTCTGATTGGCCGTCCCCGCCCCCCGCTCGTCTCTGATTGGCCGTCCCCGCCCCCCGCTCGTCTCTGATTGGCCGTTCCCGCCCCCCGCTCGTCTCTGATTGGCCGTCCCCGCCCCCGCTCGTCTGCTTGGCCGTTCCCCGCCCCCGCTGTCTCTGATTGGCCGTCCCCGCCCCCCGCTCGTCTCTGATTGGCCCCCCCCGCCCTCGCTCGTCTCTGATTGGCCCCCCCCGCCCTCGCTCGTCTCTGATTGGCTGTACCTGTGCGATGAGGCTGAACTTGGCGCAGGAGAAGTCGATGAAGGCGAGCTCGTTGAAGCCCGCCGGGATGGACGGGTTGTTCTGGATGAACGGGCGTCCGCTCGGGTCCAGGGGGAGGAGCTTGTGCACGGCGGCGTTGTGACGCAGGAGCCCGCGGTGAGTCCGGAACGTCAGACAGCACATGTCACACCTGAGGAGCACAGGCCGCGTCAACCAGGACTGGACCGGGACTGGACTGGACCGGGACTAGAACCGGGACTGGACCGGGACTGGACCGGGACTAGAACCGGGACTTGGACCGGGACTAGAACGGGACTAGGACCGGGACTAGGACCGGGACTAGAACCGGGACTAGAACCGGGACTGGACCGGGACTAGAACCGGGACTGGACCGGGACTAGGGACTAGAACCGGGACCGGACCAGGACTAGAACCGGGACCGGACCAGGACTGGACCAGGTCTAAACCAGGTCTAAACCAGGTCTAAACCAGGACTAGACCAGGTCTAAACCAGGACTAAACCAGGACTAGACCAGGTCTAAACCAGGTCTAAACCAGGTCTAAACCAGGACTAGACCAGGACTAGACCAGGTCTAAACCAGGACTAAACCAGGTCTACCAGGTAAACCAGGACTAACCAGGACTAAACCAGGACTAGACCAGGTCTAAACCAGGACTAAACCAGGTCTAAACCAGGACTAGACCAGGACTAAACCAGGACTAAACCAGGACTAACCAGGTCTAAACCAGGACTAGACCAGGTCTAAACCAGGTCTAATCGGTGTGTGTTGTAGTTGTGTGTTTGTCCTGTGGGAGGAGCTCTTCTCTTAAACACAGAGCAGCTGTTTCAGAGTTAATCCAGGACTTTAGGTTAATGGCTAAAGAAGAAACAGACGGAGACACGTCCCATGTCCTATGTCCCCGTCAGGACATGTCCCCGTCAGGACATGTCCCCCGTCAGGACATGTCCCCGTCAGGACATGTCCCCGTCAGGACATGTCCCCGTCAGGACATGTCCCCCGTCAGGACATGTCCCCGTCAGGACATGTCCCCGTCAGTCAGGACCCCCGTCAGGACATGTCAGGACATCCCCCGTCAGGACATGTCCCCCGTCAGGACACGTCCCCGTCAGGACATGTCCCCGTCAGGACATTCCCCCGTCAGGACTTTAAATGAAGAAAAGGTTTTTAGAACCGTGTTTCACAAACGTGGGACCTGCCCCCAGCAGAGAGGACGGGAGGGCATCTGACACACAGGGACACAGGAGGAGAGTGAGGACACTTCTCTCCTCCATCCCCCTCTTCATCCTTCTCTCCATCCCCCTCTCCTCCATCCCCCTCTCCTCCATCCTTCTCTTCTCTCCTCAGATCCTCTTAAGTCTCATTAAAGGATTTACAGCTAAATATTGTCCTCACTCGTCCCATCCTCCCTCTGCATCCCTCGCTCCTCCTCTCCTCCTCCCTCACTCCTCCTCTCCTCCTCATCCCTCACTCCTCCTCTCCTCCACCTCTCCTCCTCGTCCCTCCCTCCTCTCCTCCTCATCCCTCCCTCCTCTCCTCCTCTCTCCTCCCTCCCCTCTCCCTCCCCTCTCCTCCTCTCCTCCTCTCCTCCGTCCCTCCTCTCCTCCTCTCCCTCCTCTCCTCTCCTCCTCCTCTCCTCTCTCCTCCCTCCTCCCCTCCTCATCCTCCCTCCTCTCCTCTCATCCCTCCTCCTCTCTCCTCCTCCTCCTCCTCCCTCACTCCTCCTCTCTCTCTCCCTCCCTCCTCCCTCCTCCCTCCTCCTCCTCCTCCCTCCTCCCTCCTCCCTCCCTGCTCCTCCTCTCCTCCCTCATCCCTCCCTCCTCTCCTCCTCATCCCTCCCTCCTCTCCTCCTCATCCCTCCCTCCTCTCCTCCTCATCCCTTGCTCCTCCTCTCCTCCTCATCCCTCCCTCCTCTCCTCCTTGTCCCTCCCTCCTCTCCTCCTCCTCTCCTCCTCGTCCCTCGCTCCTCCTCTCCTCCTCATCCCTCGTTTCTTCTTCTCTCGTCCTCTTTACTCCAGAGAAACACTGACACTTTAAATTTTTAATGGT